GAAGGAAGGAAGGAAGGAAGGAAGGAAGGAAGGAAGGAAGGAAGGAAGGAAGGAAGGAAGGGCGAGCAAACACTTCCCCTAAGGAGGATGAAGTGATTAGCATTTATGGTAGCATCTCTTTGAGTGATGGAAAATGGTGCAGACTGGCACCAAAAGGAACAGTGCCTGTTCTGCATTACCACAAATGAAAAAAAGAGTGATAATGGAGAAACACCAAAGAGAGAGGTGAAAACATGAAACATTCCCTGTCATTCCCTGGTGCAATGCAACCCTGTAGTCCAGAGCAGAGAGGCCCACGGTTCTGTAGTCTACAGTGTAACAAACTCATTGGGCATTTTCACATGTGAGGCTTGAGGTGATTTAAGCCCCTTTCCCACTGCCACCATTTCCACGTCCTAAATACCTAGAAACAGTTTCCAACTGGCTCGCAACTGTCCTCCCTGCTGCCAGCTTCAACATGCAGAGAATGAACCTGAGGCAGTCAACATGTCCTTCAGCTGACCCAAAGGAGGGTGCAAGAACAGCATCCAAACCATGCCCCCACCCCGGATCTGTTTTGTTTGGCGTGTAAAATATCAGAGCGTTCACAAACCTGAAGTTACCGATGCACCATTCCTCTGCTCTATTTATTAAACAGAAGAAGAATGACAGCATCAAGCCACAGCAGCTTAGTATCTGTGTGAAGGGTGGTTGGTTCATCAAGAGTCTGTGCCACGGTAAAGTGGTCCATCCCCAAACTACGCAGAGTATCAGCACACCTACCGTAGTGTAAAACAGGATCACTATGTACTTGTTGGACAGTACTTCAGCCAGGTACAGGTCAAAACAACAAGACACTGGGTGATCCCACAGTTGCAATGACCATGCTTGGAGGTAGCTATAGCGAGAAGATCTAACTCTACCACAATGGCAAAAGATTACAAGGCCCTTGGGTCAAGCTTGGTTCTTAGTGGCTGTCTTCTTCTGCAGCGGTTCAGAAGTGACTTTTTTGTGATGGGATGGGATGTTTTATGACATGGAATTCTCAGGCTGTCTCCCCTCCCAATACTGACCAGGTCTGACCCTGCTTATCTTCCAAGATCAGCCAGGATTGGTTAGCTGCTGCCACCTGCTGAAAATGCCCCAAATGTCAAACTTAGTATATTAAATATGAGAGTTAATGTATTAATTCTTCCAGATCATATATTAAATGAGTAATTATCTGTTACAAGTAACCCTTAAGTGGCTTGATTTAAAGCTGCCATTTGGTCCTCTGCTTTCAACTCTTTCATCTCCAAGATAAAACCATATCTAAATTTATCAAATTTTTGATCCTATCCAGCCCTTATTGCCTCTTTCCTGTCCACACTTCCACTAATTTGCCTCTCTCTCTTACCTTTTGCTGAATTTTGATTGTTAATCCCACTGTAAGGGCTTTTTTATGGTCAGGCAGCTTACACCAAAGGCCACGTATAAAGGAATAACCTGCTGTCTTTAGTCAACCATGTCTTTAAAGATGTCTCAGCTGCTTTACTTAAAAGTAATCCCAGCCATTTCAAAAGGACGTGTGCTACACTAAACGGTTTGAAAATTGTGGGCATATTTTTTGTCTGTTTTTTATTTGCTTGCAAAGCTCCTGAATTATGAGTGGCGGTGTTTTGTTTTGCTAGTACAATTGGAAAGGAAAAAAGAAAGAAAGAAACATTACAGAAGTGGGAGAGATAGCTTCCATACACTTCTTTATTTGTATGCAATCTGACAGTCATGCATTGATTATTCTGTTTTTAGCTTTGCAACTACAACACAGAGAATTTAATTCATGCAGAGACTCTCCATTTTGTTTTTCTTCAACACATACAGTACATATGAGAGCTGGTTTTTTTTTAAAAAAAAAAAAAAAGATCAGAGAAAGCAAGATACTTGCCCTCATTGCTTCAAAGTTCTAAAGTGGGAGGGGAGACTCAGGGTGCAAATCCCCCCCCCCTTTTTTTTTTTTGCACAGGGGAGCAGGAGAAAAAATTCAGTTTAAGAGAGGGGAAATTATTTAAGTCACTCTATTAGTTCACAGCAGCAAATGTGTATAAGCATGTGACAGCAAGAGTGTGTCAGTGTATAATGGCAAACATGCAAAAGAGCAGGCAAATAGAAAAAAAATAAAGAAATAAAGTGGGATTCAGCATGCTTTTCCCCCCTGTCCTATGCAGGAAGGCAAAACATATATTCCACACTTGACCTTTCAGTATCACAGTCAAGATGGCTCCAATATTCCATTTAGATTTCTTTTAAGGAAAAGAAAATACTGCCTGAATAACAAAAGATGTGAAAGGATATCAACAGATATTGCTAAAGATGAGTTTTGCAATCTTGATGTGACAATGGTTGACTAATGCATCTCAGTCTTCCTGAACAGAATATATATTGATACTTTGATGGCTGCTAGAGTAAGTAACAATCAGTACAGATGAAGGAGACATCACACCACAGATGCATCACCTGAAATATAATTATTTTCAGGGAGGACCTATTCAAGCCATCAAATAATGAATTTTCAGGTGACATTTAGTGATGTATATGCAGGTATCAAAAAGCTCTAATACTAGATGTCATGCAGAACCAAAAACTTAATTTACTACTGAGAGTCTTTGAAGATGTTACATAACACGTTGACTTATTGATATAGGCACTTACCTTCACCCCTTCAAATTGATATAAACATTTTATTCATTTTAAAATCATGTTTCAACACCCACACTTTCAGATTCAGTATTTTGAAAAGTGCCCAGGCCCTTTCAAGAGACAATTATTTGATCACATTGAAATAATAAAAGGGGGAGTGAGTATCTGAGTGTGGGTGTGTAATTACCTGTTCATTTGTATTGGATCCAAAGGTCCTTTTCGGAGCTGTTTTGGGCTGCCATGTAAATACAAAAATGAGAAAGTATCTCTTTAAACGTTTCAAAAGGAATCAGTTTTTTAAGGAAAAAAAACATTCTCAATCCAATAAAACTTTTAAAATTATTCCTTTATTCCTATACAACTATGCTGCTGAAATGTAAAAGAAAATATTCAATATTCAGCACCTCCCTGGTATAGAGACATGTGCAATACTGGTGGTAGAGCAACCCAAGATCTTGAAATACAGAGTAAACTTGGATTTTAAAAAAATGCACAGGATCCAACAATAAAGCCAGTTCAAACATGCAATATAGACATAGTCTACATTCTCATCATTCTTCTTTGCACCTGCAAATTCCCATCTCTTAGAATCTAAAAATCTAAGATTGCTTTTCCCCACTGACCACCAATAAGAAAGACTTTTTGTTGAATATTAGCCAATTACCTTGCACTTGCTTGTTGCAACTGGGTGAGTTGCAAATGTCCTACAACTCTCCTACTTTTATAAGCAATGCAAAATGTTTGTTGGGCTGCCAAAACAGAAAATAATGCCAGGAACAGAGAAAGAGAAAGAACAGGAAGCCTTGCTAGAGAGTTCCCACACCTCCAACATACTTTTAACATAACTGATGCTTCCCGATGCAAAACTGTGCCGAATTCTCTAAGTAACAGATCAGCTATTCATTCTAATACAGGATAATAAGAGTAAAGTGTAAACTCAAAATAAGATAAGGATGGTCGAGAGGAAAAGCTCAGTTTTCATTCAAGAGTAGTACAATTCAAATGGCTGGTTACATCAGGACTGTTTGAGAATACAAGCTGTTTAAAATTGTCAAGCCTTGCATCACATATATTGTAATAGGTCTAATAGATTAGATGGACCATTAAAATTACTGAAGCAAACCTAGCTTTTGATGCATGCAATTATGTAGTCAGCCTTTAGCAGGAAAAACTGAAAACAATGACCATGGTATATGGTGTACCATGTGGTCCTGGAGAAGACTCTTGAGAGTCCCCTGGACTGCTAGGTGGTCAAACCAGTCAATCTTGAAGGAAATCAACCCTGATTGCTCATTGGAAGGGTCGATAATGAAGCTCAAGCTCAGATACT